TATTGGCCTTAAGGGACCGTTTCTCCACTACCAGGTCCATTGCAAATGAATGGTTTGCAAAACACGGAAGACCTATTGGCATGCGAAGTGTTGACCGACGAATGAGAAGTTTTGGCTTGTTTTCATACCGGCCACACTGGGTCCTCCCTTTAACTCGAGAACACCGACGTAATCGCCTTGAGTGGTGCAGACAAGGGTCACTCTGGGATCAGGAATGGAACAGTATTGTCTATAGTGACGAGTCTCGATTTTGTTTAGGCATGCACGATGGTCGTGCCAGGGTTAGAAGGCGACGTGGTGAAAGGAGGAACCCACAGTTTTTTGTTGAAAGACATGTTCATCACACTGTTGGAGTGGACTTCTTTCATCATAATGATGTCACATTGTTACCATGGCCACCAAGATATCCCGACTTATCCCCAATTGAGCACGTGTGGGATATGATGGGTAGGAGATTGCTCAATTTGCAACATCCTCCTCAGACTCTAGAAGCACTTCGAGAGGAGTTGGTGGTTGCCTGGAATGAGATACCACAGGAGGACATTGACCACCTGATCAGAAGCATGCCTAGGCGCGTTGGAGAATGCGCAGCACATCAGGGTGCATCCACACATTATTAAAGGTCAAAGGGCTTTAAAGCAGTGCAATCATTTTGAAATTTTTATCATTTACTTATTATGCTTCATTAAGTACTTATACAAAATTTTATTAAAATAAAACCATTTAAACTGGGTGTTCGGATTTATATGTCAGTTAGTATATAATACCTGTATGTTTACTTCCATGACTGGTAAAAGGACAGAGCATTTTCGGCGTTGGTTCTGACCTGTGTAGCTAAAACTGTGGAAAATTTGGAACGTTTGCATCTTCAGAATGGAACCGACTAAATACACCCAGCACTTCCCAGATACCGATGTTTTTTTTTGACAGGGAGAAGCTTTTATAGCCACTCTCGGGCAAACTATTCGCACAGCTCCCTTGTCAATCCTAATTTCAATATCTTGAACCAGCCTTCTGGTCCATGCATCATGAACTGTTGCATCCCATCTTTCCTGTCATCTGGGGAAAAGCTCATATCTTTCGTCGTTTCTACCTCCGACGCCCTTTTTACAGGGCGCACATCTCCGCAGCTAGAAAATTGGCGGGATACCAGCTACAGCTACCAGCTTTGTTATATAAGGAGCTCCGTACAGCATAATCGAGTTTGTCACCCCTGGCATCGATGTTAGTCACTAACTATTAACTAGCTGCGCGATCATTTGAGGCTGACAACATTAGCTGTGCTCCAAGGTATCACTTGTGAATATTTTTTCAACAATAAAATACAAAATTGGAATTCTTCTCTCTCTGACAAAAAATGTATCTATGAACACGTACGACAAAAAGAGAGAGAGATATACCCTCATTCACGCCTACAGCTTTAATTTTTTACCAATACCCATTTTTGTAATAATCAGGGGGCTCTGAAACTTCAAAAAACGAAGTTTGATCGATTTTTAACGTTGCGATTTTTACCTGTAAGTCTGCCAACTAGAGAGCTTCCACGTCCTCGTCTAAGGACATCACGTCAACAAGAAAAGCAATTTTCTGCTTAAAACAACGCAGGAAATACGTCAAGTTATGATTGAGAGTAAATAGTTGAGGCGTGCGAAAATCTACATCCACTTATTTAATTCACTGAAACTTGTCTGTTTATCTAATCGATGCCCTTAATTATTCGAGGATTCTCTTGCGTACCAAAATAAATAAAACAGACGCGTCGCTGTTGGGATTAAATCGCTCACTTCAAAAACTATGTCATATTCGTCAATTTGCATTTTCTCCAAATGTGGGTGCGAGCCTACAATTGTAGGATGCCTTTGTGTCCTCCTTCAATCATTTTTCTAATATGCTCTACACTACCTAAAGCAAGCTACTGGCAACAAATTGAAATAGCTCACATTCAACGTCAACAATGATCCTCTTGCTAACAGATGGCGGTACCCCATTTGTTGCTATGCACAGATACGCCCCCATTTCAGATCTGCTTATTCGTACCAGGGTCAGCCTTTCTTCTGTGTATGCGGCTACTGAAACAAATAAAAAATAGCGTCAAGTTGACTCTGTATGTCTCACGCTGGGCTGTCATTAGATCATAAAAGGTTAATTTTCGGTACAAGTTATCCCTTCTGAAGAAAAAAGTTAGCAACGAACATGTATAACAAATAATTAAATGGCGTTCCTCTTGGTACTGAAAGAAATTGTTGCGGGCGCACATGATCGTTGCTACAATGATTCCCGCGTGGATGACGATATTGACTATAGAAACATCTGAATTATTTGAAAAAATCGTGGAAAATGAGGACGATTTGCGTATTTCGGTCTCATTTCCCTAGAAATACCGACAAATCGGTATATTCGGCAACACAGGGCGCTGTCGCGTCTGTCAATATGAAAAGGTGCAACGTTGCCAGATGTATGGCAACTATCACTAGGCTGGGAAAAAAAATTTCATTCCAATTGTTGGGACTTTTCCGTTCAATTTGTCTGTTATACACACTAGTAGCTACCTTTTTTCTCAGCGGCTCAAGCTTGTGCTGGATATAATCCCTCATGCAGTAGTGACCGCGACTTGAGTGCCTGGTATTTATTTCACTCGTTGTAAGTACAATATACGTTTATGCTGTTAACTGGTGTAAATTTTGTTAATATTGTTCGAAATATTTAAAAAAAACTATTTTAGAAAGTAAATGCAAACACCCTGTATTTCGGAAGCCACGCATTTTTCGACCCATGTTTATATAGACTTTATGCATTAATTTTAAAAGTTCTATCGAATCTTAACGTTATGCAACAATAAACTGAAACACCCTGTATAGAACTTGAGTTTTGGCGGGGCCTATAGATTTTGGGAGGGGGAGGGTTGAATAGACCAAAAGATCATTGGGGTGTTAAGTCCGACTTTTTCTAAATCGTAAACTTGTAAAAATATCTATATCTTTCCAAATAGAAGAAATTTCGAGAGATAATTTTAGTATTACATATTCCCATAACATAGGGAAAGCGAAATAAGAGATGTGTGAACATAATTGTAGGCAAACGTACTCTACGTTCCTCAAGTGCCCGACTGCCTTCATCGAATTTACTTTACTAGCTTAATTTTTGGTTCCAGTTATTTTTCGATAAAAAATCCGGAAACATCTGAATTATTTGAAAAAATCGTGGAAAATGAGGACGATACGCGTATTTCGGTCTCATTTCCCTAGAAATACCGACAAATCGGTATGTTCGACAACACAGGGCGCTGTCGCGTCTGTCAACATGAAAAGGTGCAACGTTGCCAGATGTACGGCAACTAACACTAGGCTGGGAAAAAATTTCATTCCAATTGTTGGGTTCCGTTCAATTTGTCTGTTATACACACTAGTAGCTACGTTTTTTCTCAGAGGCTCAAGCTTGGGCTGAATATAATCCCTCATGCAGTAGTGACCGCGACTTAAGTGCCTGGTATTGATTTCACTCGTTGTAAGTACAATATACGTTTATGCTGTTAACTGGTGTAAATGTTCACTGTTATAGATCAAATATTGTTCGAAATATTTAAAAAAAACTATTTCAGAAAGTAAATTTAAACACCCTGTATTTCGGAAGCCACGCATTTTTCGACCAATGTTTATATAGACTTTATGCATTAATTTTAAAAGTTCTATCGAATCTTAAAGTTATGCAACAATAAACTGAAACACCCTGTATAGAACTTGAGTTTTGGCGGGGCCTATAGATTTTGGGAGGGGGAGGGTTGAATAGACCAAAAGATCATTGGGGTGATAAGTCCGACTTTTTCGAAATCGTAAACTTGTAAAAATATCTATATCTTTCCAAATAGAAAAAATTTCGAGAGATAATTTTAGTATTACATATTTCCATAACATAGGAAAAGCGAAATAAGAGATGTGTGAACATAATTGTTGGCAAACCAAATCTACGTTCCTCAAGTGCCCGACTGCCTTCATCGAATTTACTTTGCTAGCTTTTTGGTTTCAGTTAATTTTCGATAAAAAATCTGGAAATATCTGAATTATTTGAAAAAATCGTGGAAAATGAGGACGATTTGCGTATTTCGGTCTCATTTCCCTAGAAATACAGACAAATCGGTATGTTCGGCAACACAGGGCGCTGTCGCATCTGTCAACATGAAAAGGTGCAACGTTGCCAGATGTACGGCAACTACCACTAGGCTGGGAAAAAATTTCATTCCAATTGTTGGGACTTTTCCGTTCAATTTGTCTGTTATACACACTAGTAGCTACCTTTTTTCTCAGAGGCTCAAGCTTGTGCTGGATATAATCCCTCATGCATTAGTGACCGCGACTTAAGTGCCTGGTATTGATTTCACTCGTTGTAAGTACAATATACGTTTATGCTATTAACTGGTGTAACTTCACAGTTTTAGAGCGAGGTTAAAATCGATAAGCCCGATTTATCTTGAATGTGTCGAATGTGGGGCGCACATCCATCAGTATCACGTACTTAACCTTTAACCTCTTATCAGATTCTCTTTCGATGGAGTCAGGAGAGCGACGGAATGACCACTTAATGCCCGATCGGTGTTTGGTTTGTTTGCTCTGGTGAACTCCAAACGAACCCTCACTTAGGAAACGATCGTTGTTGATTGCTCGTCGGATGTATCAGGGATTTGTTATCACCGAATGATTTATCGCTGTACCGTTCAGTCTTAGAGTACGTGCCATACCTAGTCAGGCTTAAAAACAGTTGTGCAACTATGTTTCAAACTCTCATAAATCGAATTTCATTTGCAAAATGCAGTGCTAAACCATCTAATTTTTCAGTGCTACGCTAGTTCTGTTTGCAAATAAGGCATTTTGTTTGTTACCTAAACGCTGCCCCAATTTTGCAATTCCTTTATGTATGCCTATACAAGATATGACGACTATAATGTATACAAAAGCTGGTAAGACCCGACCGGAATAAAATGAAGTTTCGTAATCAGATAAACGTACCTTTCTTCTGCCTTTCGACGTTGATGGCTTGTCCATCCTCCCTCCTCCAGATGATCTTGGGAATCGGAAAACCGTCAGCCTTGCATGTTAGGCTGATGTTTTGGTTCTCTCTCACAGCCACGGTGAACTGGGTACTTTCAGTGTCAATTATGTGAGGCGGAACTGAAAACGAAGATGAAAATTGCTCAGTATCGTCATTTTGTAATTTAGCTTGAAAAAAAATTATTGCAAAAAACGAACAAATATCGTTTGAACCTCGTCTTTCGGGTACATTGCAATACTTCATATAGCGATATTAATACACTTCCAACCTCAAAAATTCTACGCACCTATTTGATAGATTTAACACACCATACATTTCTCCGTATATTTGAACTTGAAACTATGTTCCGCAGACGCCTATCAGTCGCATATGCCGTGCACCACGGGGTCATTTATGAATATTGCATTCGGTACGAGTGGGCAAGCAGCGCAGCGATATACGAGGTGGGCGCGATATTATCTAATCACATGGAGTGCAATTCAACGATGTTATTTGACTTAATATTTTATATTATAGTATTTGTATACTAAGTGACATATAAATCCGAACACCCAGTTTAAATGGTTTTATTTTAATAAAATTTTGTATAAGTACTTAATGAAGCAAAATGATTGCACTGCTTTGAAGCCCTTTGATCTTTAATAATGTGTGGATGCACCCTGATGTGCTACGCAATCTCCAACGCGCCTAGGCATGCTTCTGATCAGGTGGTCAATGTCCTCCTGTGGTATCTCATTCCAGGCAACCACCAACTCCTCTCGAAGTGCTTCTAGAGTCTGAGGAGGACGTTGCAAATTGAGCAATCTCCTACCCATCATATCCCACACGTGCTCAATTGGGGATAAGTCGGGAGATCTTGGTGGCCATGGTAACAATGTGACATCATTATGTTGAAAGAAGTCTATTGTGACTCTTGCAACATGTGGTCGGGCATTATCTTGTTGGAAAGTTAGATCTGCCAGGGTGTCAAGATAGGGTAAAAGATGGGGTTCTAGAACTTCGTGGATATAACGCTGCGCGTTCATGTTACCTCTGATGAAGATTAAAGGTGACCTGGAACCATAAGCTATAGCACCCCAAACCATAACTCCAAAAGTGTGATGAACATGTCTTTCAACAAAAAACTGTGGATTCCTCCTTTCACCACGTCGCCTTCTAACCCTGGCACGACCATCGTGCATGCCTAAACATAATCGAGACTCGCCACTAAAGACAATACTGTTCCATTCCTGATCCCAGAGTGACCGTTGTCTGCACCACTCAAGGCGATTACGTCGGTGTTCTCGAGTTAAAGGGAGGACCCAGTGTGGCCGGTATGAAAACAAGCCAAAACTTCTCATTCGTCGGTAAACACTTCGCATGCCAATAGGTCTTCCGTGTTCTGCAAACCATTCATTTGCAATGGACCTGGTAGTGGAGAAACGGTCCCTTAAGGCCAATAATCTTAGGCGGCGATCTTCACGGTCTGTTGTTCTACGGCGGCGTCCAGTGCCCCTTGCTCTTTGCGTACGGCCTTCTCGAAGCCATGCCTGACAACACCTAACCACAGTGTCTACACTTCTTTGCACTCTAACTGCAATTGCCCGAAAAGAAAGTCCAGCTTCCCGAAGTCCCACTATACGGCCCCTATCAAACTCACTAAGTTGACGAAATCGTACAGGTCTCCGTACTCTAGGCATCGTAGCCGATCGTAAAGGATCTCAAGAACCAAAATCCGCCAACGTTGATTCTTTACCGCGGCTGAAATATTCATTTTTAGAGCGTTAGTGAATTAAAAAAAAGCAGTATAAAAACCGGTATGTCCAACTGATAAGGCTGAAAATTTTTTCACTTGTTATTTACAGTAGGATCAATACATTCACCAACTTTTATTAAAATAAAACCATTCGGATTTATATGTCACTTAGTATATATACGATAAGTATTCATGAAGAGCTACTGATTATCAAACGCGCGAAAGAAATGAGGCTTCCGTGTAAAGATACGTTGATTGCTGCTGTTTGAGGATTTTTTTTTAAAATCGCAAATAGCGCATTATCGGCTCTGACAAGTCTTGCGCCTTTTTGATGTCATTATACTACGTGTACAATTATACTAGAAGTTGCTTTGGAAACGTGGCAAGTATAGAGTCAACCTACCTTTTTAAAATTTCAAACGCGGTGTAATGTGAACCATTCACGTTATTGTGGGAAATATTACTTTGGTATAACATATGTCCTAAATCTTTTGGCACAAAATATTTATCGGATTCTTTTTAACGAAGAAATTTATTCAAACACTAACTAGTTATCATAAATTCACTCAATAGCAAGCAAACTTTTGTTTCCAAAAGCAGCTGGAGATTATTTTGTGCCAAAGCTTTTAGGACATACTTTTTATCCACTTGTATGTTGTTTAATGCCTTCTTAATGCTTTTTGTAAATCAGTTCAGTTTTTGAGCCTACCTCAAAAACGTCAAGTTACCGAGCTGTGCTTAACCCATTTTTCCGTAGGTAGCTGTTTTCATAGCACACTAAAGTGTATCATTTGTGCCGTTCCGCGAGCAGTTGAAAGTTTCAAACTGTTCCCCGGCGTGTCATCCAAGTTAAATATTAACCTCTCAATATGGCCGCTATTCGGAAAAAAACATCCGTTGTGATGCAGAACGGTGGTTTTCGTGTTGCTGAACTACAGAGGAAAACGTATGAAAATGCTATGAATAACAATGAAGCATATCAAAGGGCGCAACGCTTAGTTTGGAAATGAAAAATAAAGGTAGAATTCGCTGCCAAGAAACAAAATTTAGTATCTCTTTGAATGTTAATTGTTCTTGTACTCTGTCGGAAATGCGATAAGTATCGGACACCGATCTGTACGAAATCTGGCAACAGCGTCGTGTTTGTCGAGCCCCTACCACCGATCCCAACAAGAACCGCCTATTTGCAAAAAATATAGAAAAGCACGTTGCCATTTGTACGTCCGATTTCTTCATTAAAGATAACTTTTTCAACCCTCACCAATTTGGTTTTCTCAAGGGAATGTCCGCAGCTAAAGCCTATTCTTCTTTTATAAACGTGCTGAATACAGGATAAAATTAAGAAAACACTAGGAATATTTTGTAGACTTGAGCACAGTTTTTGATATGGCAGTTCACAATCTTTTGCAACATGGTTTGATAGATAGACCTCAATATGTGTAACCAGAAATCCCGCCCAACCACGTGCGGCAGTTCCTCAGGGCTCAATGCTCGAACCCATTATATTCGTAAATGATTTGAGCAGCAACAACTTTGTTAGTAAATTTTACTACAGGGGTAGGGTTTTCGCCAAATCTTTTAACGTTAGGCAGTTCAAAAATCCGATTAACAAAGTTTCTTCGGGATCGTCATAGTAGCAGCGGTGCCCTGGGCTGTGAAGAAATGTAAAGTTAGTTTTGCTGCAAATGCAGAGCGAGCATTTATTCCGTAAAAATCCGAGTGTCAGTTCATAGCGATAAACAAAAAGAAAGGTACATTTGACGGCTGCATGCGACGCATTAAAAATGATATATGACCCTGGTTCGGTTTCCAGAAAATATGATGTCTGTACAACCCGCCGACCAGATGCGAGGCTGTCTATTACATTCGGTGAGTTACGTGGGATGATAAATAATATCAAGAACACTAACATTTGGCAACGTAACCGCACACCAGTTTTTGACATAGAAGAGCCAACCACTATCTTTGTTGGTTGTTGTTAGATTATTGCTTGCTAATGATGATTTCAAATTGGCGTCATGATTCATGATAGGACTGGAGCATTTGCGACCTTTTTGATGAGCGCGTTTGATCGAAAACATACTTCAGGCCTTGATGATATAAACCATTGATTCCCAAAGTGGTCTATATCGACCCCTAGGGGTCTACGACAACCTGCAAGGGGTCTACGTCAGCGAAAAAAAAAATGGGGGTCCATGAAATGAATATGGGGGTCCACGACAGTGGATCTCTACACATACACTGATAGTACCTATTTACTTACATCATACTATCTTATAATATCAAAACATATACATTATTTATAAAAGTACCTATGAAGTAAAAAATGTATTATATATGTTTATAAAATTGTGTAAGTTGTAGGATGTTGGTATTCGCTTTGTGGTCGCAATACATTTTGAACTTGTAAAAACCTGAGAGTCGCAGTCTCAGAGCTTCGCTACATTGCACTGACTTGTTCAATTCGTCACTCTATAAATACGAATGTGGGACAAATACGTTTATTCGTTTCCTGAATCTTGAAAAGGAAAGTGCTGAGAAAATATTTTAAAAAATACAAACAGATAGTATATTACACAAATTTTAGTGAGTCAGTGTTATTTTGTTTGAGAGTGCTGGCGAAAAGTAAGTACATTATTTTTTATTAAATTTTAGTTTTGTACTCGTAGTTAGCAAAGATAGATAAATTACGCCAATCATGACTTTAGTTATTAGTAGTTAAATATTCAATCATGCAAAATTACACGAGTACTCCTCAATAGTTTCTTTTTGAAAGTTTTAGCAATCGGCAATATAATTACAGTGCAATCTCCGTAATTCGAGCTAATTGTTGCAAGAAGATGTTCGAATTATGGAATGTTTTCGGAAAAATCAAAAAATATGTTTAATATACAGCTGCTGGATTTTCTGTCTTATTTAAATAATTTAATTTTGCCCACAGATGACTGATGCCATGTCCGAATCTAAAAAGAAATGTAGACAGTACAGTGTTGATTATTTGAAATTTGGCTTCATTCCATCATTGCCGGACAAACAATCGCCTAGGTGCCTTTTATGCAACAAGTTTTGGGCAATGACGCTATGAAACCATCTAAACTGCAAGATCATCTGAGAAGATGCCACCCTGATAAAACAGAGAAAGATTTGAAATACTTTCAAACACTCAAAGATAAATTTCAGAAGAGACCTACACTGGACAGAATGTTCGCTTCGACGTCACAAAGAAATGATGATGGTTTGCGGGCGTCTTACAATATCTCGTTACTTATAGCAAAATCCCGAAAACCGCATACTATCGGAGATAAGTTAATTTTGCCAGCCGTTGAAGAGGTTTTAAAAACTGTTTTACACAAACCTGTATCTGATATCATTAAAAGAATTCCCTTAAGCAACAATACTATTGATAGACGTATTGATGAAATGAGTTCTGATATTGAAAGCTTCTTATGTAATTATATGTATTTGCAAACGACCCATTTCTCTATACAACTGGACGAGTCAACTTTATCTGATAATGCAGCATTATTATTGGCATACATGTATGTTCGTTTTATTATGAATCAAGAAATCGACGAAGAACTGTTCTTCGCAAGAACTTTGATAACCGACACTAAAGGTGAATCAATATTTCATGTTTTGAAGGATTACTTCATTGAAAAAGCAATTCCTTTATCAAATATAATATCAGTAGCTACAGATGGAGCACCTGCCATGGTTGGACGTTATCGTGGATTTATAAGATATTTAAAACAAAATGTGTCAGGGGTGTTAGCAATACATTGCGTCATCCAACGACAACATTTAGTTGCTAAACATTTGAGTGTTAGATTGCACGAATCACTTCATTTAGTCATTGATGCAGTAAACCGAATCCGAAGCAACACGTTGAATACGCGGTTATTTGCGCATTTGTGTGAAGAAAATGACACTTTCATCAATTACTCCTTCACACTGAAGTACGCTGGCTGTCGAAAGGCTTATGTTTGACAAGATTTTTTGCACTTTTTGAGACTATTTTAGAATTTAACTGGATACTAAAGATAAAATTTTTAAAGAAAATTTAATGAAGAGGAAAACAGACATCGCCTATTTAACAGATTTGTTTACAAAATTTAATATGGTTAATTTGCAATTACAAGGCGACAGTTTAAATTTGATTAAAACAAAGTCCATCTTATCAGCGTTTCTTGCCAGAGTTAAACTAATGAAGCAAAATATTGGACGGGGCGAATTTTATCAGTTCCCCAATTTGTCACAGACAAGCTGCCAGGAAGACGACGTTTCAACGTTCAACATTTAAATGCCCTCTATTCATATTTTGAATCTAGGTTTGAGGATATTTTGACTATGGTAATACCACCGTGGATAATTAATCCATATGGTGACATAGAAGAAACGAATGTCATAATACAAGAGAAACTGACTGAACTAAGTACAAACGAAGAACTTAAGGTTCAGTTTAAAAACGGATATCAGCAATTCTGGCTGCAAAACAACATACCCGTTACTTATCCCGTATTATGGAATATAGCGAGGAAATTTTTAATTTCCTTTCCATCGTCATGCCTAGTGGAAATGGGGTTCAGCGCTGTTACCAATCTCCTAACGAAAAAAAGAAACAGACTGGACATCATTAGCCGAGGAGATTTAAGATTAACCCTTACAAAATTGACGCCAAATGTTGATAATTTATTATTAAAGCATCAGGTTCATCCTTCTCACTAAAAACATTGACTTATTGCTTATGTTATTTTATTTATAGTTCATTTTATGTTTCTTGATGTCTGACCAATAAATGCCCGCATTGGGAATAAGTGCCCGCATTGATTTTTTTAAAGAACCCCCCCTTTATAGAAAATATTTTTTTTTAAATTATTCTGAAAATTGAAGGATAGGTACACACTAAAATTCGTTAATTTTTTGCCTATTTTTAGATAACTTAAACGTATAAGAAGCGGAATTTAATCAAACTAACAGTGAAATTATTGTAGAACATACGTTTATGTTATAATTAATAAACGAACTCGCTTATTGTACTATTTTATGTAAAAATCTTTTTTTTATTATTTTTCACTTTTTTTTTATTTTATCCCTCTTATTTTTTTTTCAATGCGGGCACTTATTGGTCTGACACCTGTTTATTTAATGATACGTATATTTTACATAACAGATACAAAATTTTATTTTGAGTAGTTTTAATTTAAATCCAATTAATAAATGTATAAATTAACATGTGTTTTTACTTCAAGTTTTTAACACTAAACTTCACTACAGTTAGAAATTTACAGGAAATCAATATCAGGTAAGTAGGGGGTCTACCCAACACGGAAAAACATGGCAAGGGGTCTACGACACAAAAAAGTTTGGGGAACTCTGATATAAACGAATACTTTTTAAAAAAATATGAACGTCAACAGGCGTTCAAGATTCAATACACAAAATGCATCCAGTAGCGTCAAGTTAACTCTGTGGTTTACACATGACGCTTCGTAAAGATCATTTTACATCCCTTGCATTTTTTGCAACGATATTGTCTTCACGACTAGTTCTTTGTTATCTTCACCGTTTTCTTTCTTCATATTCCACGCCTAATCTTTCAGGATTACGCTTCTAAAAGCTCGTATTTCTTGCTTTGCAGAATTCCGTAATCTGTTTCCATATTGACGTATGTGTTTTAACCGTATTGAACTACACTTTTCTCAGTCGCAAGAATCACTTCCAAAGTGACTCATTTTCACTACATAAGCTGATTAGCACAGTTTAAAAACAATATTTAGTGACAATAAAAACTGTTTAGCGTCATTTTCTGGTGTCCTAGGAGACCATAATTACTTGTTATGAAAGGTATTGTAACTTTTTGTAACAGCAGCTGTCAAGTTTTGCCTCGAAAAAACATCTGACAGGTGTTGTCATACAATCTTTATATCTGAAAACCATTTGTAATTCAAAATTGCGCGTTTGTGATTGGTAGAAATCAAGACGAGGGAAATAGTCGCCGAAAAGTCCCCTCGTATTCGAGTACGACTGGATTTCGGATTTTGACCGGCGTGTTTGAATAGAATTAACAGGACGGGCGTGGACACAGTGCTCCTGTTGACATCGCGCATTAACCGATTCCAACGCTTTATTATCTCGACATTTATTCCGTCCCGACTCTCTAACAGATCAATAAGTCCCATAAGTGTCGCCGCTGCTAATGAGCCTCGCATTCCGTCATAATTTGTACCGATATGTGCAGAGTAATATAGAATCCCTGGGCAGAAACAGGTATTGCAAAATGTTCGAACCGGGGAAGGCGGAGTAACTTATATAAATGCAACGCCCGTCCGACCAGTTGTAATCGGCGTTTTTTCAACCTTATTGGGAGTCATCAGAATGGTTCAATGGACGACCAAGATGATAATAATAAGCGTCTATTACCCAACAGTTTAACACCATTTACTTATTTATTTATTTATTTATAATAAATAATGTTTTTCCATGTTGGGTAGACCCCCTACTTACCTGATATTGATTACCTGTAAATTTCTAACTGTAGTGAAGTTTACTGTTAAAAACTTAAAGTAAAAACACATGTTAATTTATACATTTATTAATTGAATTTAAATTAAAACTACTCAAAATAAAATTTTGTATCTGTTATGTAAAATATACGTAACATTAAATAAACAGGTGTCTGACCAATAAGTGCCCGCATTGGGAATAAGTGCCCGCATTGAAAAAAAAAGAGAGATAAAATCAAAAAAATGTGAAAAATAATAAAAAAAAAGTTTTTTACTTAAAATAGTACAATAAGCGAGTTCGTTTATTAATTATAACATAAACGTATGTTCTACAATAATTTCACTGTTGGTTTGATTAAATTCCGCTTCTTATACGTTTAAGTTATCTAAAAATAGGCAAAAAATTAACGAATTTTAGTGTGTACCTATCCTTGAATTTTCAGAATTTAAAAAAAAAATATTTTCTATGAAGGGGGGTCCTTTAAAAAAATCAATGCGGGCACTTATTCCCAATGCGGGCATTTATTGGTCAGACACCAATAAACATAAAATAAACTATAAATAAAATAACATAAGCAATAAGTCAATATTTTTAGTGAGAAGGATGAACCTGATGCATTAATAATAAATTATCAACATTTGGCGTCAATTTTGTAAGGGTTAATCTTAAATCTCCTCGGCTAATGATGTCCAGTCTGTTTCTTTTTTTCGTTAGGAGATTGGTAACAGCGCTGAACCCCCTTTCCACTAGGTATGACGATGGAAAGGAAATTAAAAATTTCCTCGCTATATTCCATAATACGGGGTAAGTGACGGGTATGTTGTTTTGCAGCCAGAATTGCTGATATCCGTTTTTAAACTGAACCTTAAGTTCTTCGTGTGTACTTAGTTCAGTCAGTTCCTCTTGTATTATGACATTCGTTTCTTCTATGTCACCATATGGATTAATTATCCACGGTGGTATTACCATAGTCAAAACATCCTCAAACCTAGATTCAAAATCTGAATAGAGGGCATTTAAATGTTGAACGTAAGTTGTGTCTGTGACAAATTGGGGAACTGATAAAATTCGCCCCGTCCAATATTTTGCTTCTTTAGTTTAACTCTGGCAAGAAACGCTGATAAGATGGACTTTGTTTTAATCAAATTTAAACTGTCGCCTTGTAATTGCAAATTAACCATATTAAATTTTGTAAACAAATCTGTTACATAGGCGATGTCTGTTTTCCTCTTCATTAAATTTTCGTTTAAAATTTTATCTTTAGTATCCAGAAATTCTAAAATAGTCTCAAAAAGTGCCGACAGCCGACAGCCAGCGTACTTCAGTGTGAAGGAGTAATTGATGAAAGCGTTCGTCATTTTCTTCACAACTGCGCAAATAACCGCGTATTCAACGCGTTGCTTCGGATTCGGTTTATTGCATCAATGACTAAATGAAGTGATTCATGAAATCTAACACTCAAATTTTTAGCAACTAAATGTTGTCGATGGATGACGCAATGTATTGCTAACACCCCTGACACATTTTGTTTTAAATAGCTTATACATCCACGATAACGTAAAACCATGGCAGGTGATCCATCTGTAGCTACTGATATTATATTTGATAAAGGAATTGCTTTTTCAATGAAGTAATCCTTCAAAACATGAAATATTGATTCACCTTTAGTGACGGTTATGAAAGTTCTTGCGAAGAGCAGTACTTCGTAGATTTCTTGATTCATAATAAAACGAACATATGCGAATAATAATGCTGCATTATCAGGTAAAGTTGACTCGTCCAGTTGTATAGAGAAATGGGTCGTTTGCAAATAATTACATAAGAAGCTTTCAATATCAGAACTCATTTCATCAATACGTCTTTCAGTATTGTTGCTTAAGGGAGTTCTTTTAATGATATCAGATGCAGGTTTGTGTAAAACAGTTTTTAAAACCTCTTCAACGGCTGGCAAAATTAACTTATCTCCGATAGTATGCGGTTTTCCGGATTTTGCTATAAGTAACGATATATTGTAAGACGCCCGCAAAACCATCATCATTTCTTTGTGACGTCGAATCGAACATTCTGTCCAGTGTATGTCTCTTATGAAATTTATCTTTGAGTGTTTGAAAGTATTTCAAATCTTTCTCTGTTTTATCAGGGTGGCATCTTCTCAGATAATCTTGCAGTTTAGATGGTTTCATAGCGTCATTGCCTAAAACTTTGTTGCATAAAAGGCACATAGGCGATTGTTTGTCCGGCAATGATGGAATGAAGCCAAATTTCAAATAATCAACACTGTACTGTCTACATTTCTTCTTAGATTCGGACTTGGCATCAGTCATCTGTGGGCAAAATTAAATTATTTAAATAAGACAGAAAATCCAGCAGCTGTATATTAAAAATATTTTTTGATTTTTCCGAAAACATTCCATAATTCGAACATCTTCTTGCAACAATTAGCTCGAATTACGGAGATTGCACTGTAATTATATTACCGATTGCTAAAACTATCAAAAATAAACTATTGAGGAGTACTCGTGTAATTTTGCATGATTGAATATTTAACTACTAATAACTAAAGTCATGATTGGCGTAATTTATCTATCTTTGCTAACTTCGAGTACAAAACTAAAATTTAATAAAAATAATGTACTTACTTTTCTCCAGCACTCTCAAACAAAATAACACTGACTTACTATAATTTGTGTGATATACTATCTGTTTATATTTTTTAAAAGATTCAGGAAACGAATAAACGTATTTGTCCCACATTCGTATTTATAGAGTGACGAATTGAACAAGTCAGTGCAAGGTAGCCAAGCTCTGAGACTGCGACTCTCAGGTTTTTACAAGTTCAAAATGTATTGCGACCACAAAGCGAATACCAACATCCTACAACTTACACAATTTTATAAACATATATAATAAATTTTTTACTTCCTAGGTACTTTTATAAATAATGTATATGTTTTGATATTATAAGATAGTATGATGTAAGTAAATAGGTACTATCAGTGTATGTGTTGAGATCCACTATCGTGGACCCCCATATTCATTTCATGGACCCCCAAATTTTTTTTCGCTGACGTAAACCTCTTGCAGGTTGTCATAGACCCCTAGGTGTCGATATAGACCACTTTGGGAATCAATACTCTAGACAGTACATGATAAAAAAGACATAAATATAAATTATCCGATTGTTAAAAAACACCTCTTGAGATCGATTTTGGTATAGAGAGATACGATATATTTTCTGCGACGCAACAATCAGCGGATGGTTGAGAAGACGTGATGTAGATGGACTGGAAATACTTGGCAAACGTATCAACAATTTCCTGTGGATTCCTGAACTCCTCATTTTCCAAAGACATATTGTTCGGTATGCCTGATCTGTTGCTGCGCAAGTTAACAAAGGACCAAAATTGATTGGGGTTTTGCGCAAGGGCACGCTCGGTTCTCGCAACAAAATTAGAAAACGCCAAGTCTATATCGATTTTGATGGCTCTTCGCAAGTTACAGAGCAATTTACTAAAATTTTAAAAAAAATACAAACTCCGTAAATCAAGATAAACAAAAATATAGCTATAACTAAATTGTAAGAAAGACAAGAAACATCACAAATGAACTCGCAGTTTGCACTTCAGAACTCTAGGCATGATAATGAACTGAATGTTTTTCTGATGATGTTTTCGTATCACAGTATGATTGATTTGTTTGGGATTTGGGGTTGATTATTGTTTTTTATAATGCAATAAATTGGATTTTCTTTTCATCTGTAAGCCGGAGGATGAAAGCTCATACAGATGGTTTGAACCGTCTACAGTATATTCAGATAAGAGATAGACCGGACATAAACAAGACCTCGTGATCATCGAACGCTGTAACATTCGGCAGGGACGTATTAAGAGTCACGCAGTACATATTTTAGATAGTAGATGCTGCTTTGCGTAACTTTGTAGTAAATTAGCACAATTCGATGTGTATACGATTGGTGATGGATATAGGATCATGTGGGAGTGGGGTAAGAAATATATAATGATGTAAATATAAATAAGGGTTTCAAAATTTCCGCTTCGATTTCCAGCTTCGGATGCTGCCTGATGTTTGGTGAAATACAGTCGAATATAATCTCAAAATGGCGTTTAAATTAGCCTAAATTAAAAATAATCGTATATCTCTTAAAATTGCTTTTAGAATATTGATTAGTATATTTTTTGATTTCTAGGTAAATATGTAACCAAATTAAAACGTTCAAAACGTAAAAAAATGTGGATGGTTGAACATTGTCAGAAAGTAGATTCTTGAATAGGTTTTGCCAAAATGGGTTCAAAAATGTCAATAATTAATAAAAAAATACAGTAGCTTTATAATTACTTATAACTTGCCGAATTTGATGAACGACATATTTTATTGGAAAGATGAGCTTGATGAGCTTTCATCATCGCTACTGCCTGAAGCACCAACGTCAATAATGAATGGCTCGACTTGTTCCTCTAAAATATTGTCCAGTTCCCACATTCTCTTTCCAACTTTGTCTTTCACGTGCTTAATACAGTTTTCCCATTTTTGCGCTGTTATTAATTCTAGTGCTTGTTTGAAAAGTCGTTTGAGGTCACAAAATTTAAAAGTTGTATTGTGCTTAGCTATATAATTTTTAACCTCTGCCCATATGAGCTCAATGGGATTGAGCTCACAATGGTATGGAGGTAGACGGAGCACAGTTTTATTTTGACTTGCTGCCATTTCGTCAATGGCGTATTTTTGATATTCCGCCTTGTGATCCTTGACAATTCTTAAAAATTGTACTTTCAGCATTGCTTCTTCAAAGTTGATATTTTTCTAACGGAGCCAATTTTGAACATCAACTTTCCTTGAAGCCGTTGTTGGGACCTTCTCCATTCTTCGAGAATGATAAGGCGCATTATCCAACAC